TTTGACTCCAAAAACACTAACCAAGCTTCTTATTGCTTCTCAAATCTTTGTGGGTGTGGCCGAAGTCCTATGAGTTTTCTGTTTTGGAGCTTCTAAATGGAAAAACACTACTTTAGCTTTTGGGATCCGGTTGCGGTTCTAGTTCTTAAACCCAATCATAAACACGAGATCTAGTCATATTTGACTCCAAAAACACTAACCAAGCTTCTTATTGCTTCTCAAATCTTTGTGGGTGTGGCCGAAGTCCTATGAGTTTTCGGTTTTGGAGCTTCTAAATGGAAAAACACTACTTTAGCTTTTGGGATCCGGTTGCGGTTCTAGTTCTTATACCCAATCATAAACACGAGATCTAGTCATATTTGACTCCAAAAACACTAACCAAGCTTCTTATTGCTTCTCAAATCTTTGTGGGTGTGGCCGAAGTCCTATGAGTTTTCGGTTTTGGAGCTTCTAAATGGAAAAAACACTACTTTAGCTTTTGGGATCCGGTTGCGGTTCTAGTTCTTAAACCCAATCATAAACACGAGATCTAGTCATATTTGACTCCAAAAACACTAACCAAGCTTCTTATTGCTTCTCAAATCTTTGTGGGTGTGGCCGAAGTCCTATGAGTTTTCGGTTTTGGAGCTTCTAAACGGAAAAACACTACTTTAGCTTTTGGGATCCGGTTGCGGTTCTAGTTCTTATACCCAATCATAAACACGAGATCTAGTCATATTTGACTCCAAAAACACTAACCAAGCTTCTTATTGCTTCTCAAATCTTTGTGGGTGTGGCCGAAGTCCTATGAGTTTTCTGTTTTGGAGCTTCTAAATGGAAAAACACTACTTTAGCTTTTGGGATCCGGTTGCGGTTCTAGTTCTTAAGCCCAATCATAAACACGAGATCTAGTCATATTTGACTCCAAAAACACTAACCAAGCTTCTTATTGCTTCTCAAATCTTTGTGGGTGTGGCCGAAGTCCTATGAGTTTTCTGTTTTGGAGCTTCTAAATGGAAAAACACTACTTTAGCTTTTGGGATCCGGTTGCGGTTCTAGTTCTTAAACCCAATCATAAACACGAGATCTAGTCATATTTGACTCCAAAAACACTAACCAAGCTTCTTATTGCTTCTCAAATCTTTGTGGGTGTGGCCGAAGTCCTATGAGTTTTCTGTTTTGGAGCTTCTAAATGGAAAAACACTACTTTAGCTTTTGGGATCCGGTTGCGGTTCTAGTTCTTAAGCCCAATCATAAACACGAGATCTAGTCATATTTGACTCCAAAAACACTAACCAAGCTTCTTATTGCTTCTCAAATCTTTGTGGGTGTGGCCGAAGTCCTATGAGTTTTCTGTTTTGGAGCTTCTAAATGGAAAAACACTACTTTAGCTTTTGGGATCCGGTTGCGGTTCTAGTTCTTATACCCAATCATAAACACGAGATCTAGTCATATTTGACTCCAAAAACACTAACCAAGCTTCTTATTGCTTCTCAAATCTTTGTGGGTGTGGCCGAAGTCCTATGAGTTTTCTGTTTTGGAGCTTCTAAATGGAAAAACACTACTTTAGCTTTGGGATCCGGTTGCGGTTCTAGTTCTTAAACCCAATCATAAACACGAGATCTAGTCATATTTGACTCCAAAAACACTAACCAAGCTTCTTATTGCTTCTCAAATCTTTGTGGGTGTGGCCGAAGTCCTATGAGTTTTCGGTTTTGGAGCTTCTAAACGGAAAAACACTACTTTAGCTTTTGGGATCCGGTTGCGGTTCTAGTTCTTATACCCAATCATAAACACGAGATCTAGTCATATTTGACTCCAAAAACACTAACCAAGCTTCTTATTGCTTCTCAAATCTTTGTGGGTGTGGCCGAAGTCCTATGAGTTTTCTGTTTTGGAGCTTCTAAATGGAAAAACACTACTTTAGCTTTTGGGATCCGGTTGCGGTTCCAGTTCTTAAGCCCAATCATAAACACGAGATCTAGTCATATTTGACTCCAAAAACACTAACCAAGCTTCTTATTGCTTCTCAAATCTTTGTGGGTGTGGCCGAAGTCCTATGAGTTTTCTGTTTTGGAGCTTCTAAATGGAAAAAACACTACTTAGCTTTTGGGATCCGGTTGCGGTTCTAGTTCTTATACCCAATCATAAACACGAGATCTAGTCATATTTGACTCCAAAAACACTAACCAAGCTTCTTATTGCTTCTCAAATCTTTGTGGGTGTGGCCGAAGTCCTATGAGTTTTCTGTTTTGGAGCTTCTAAATGGAAAAACACTACTTTAGCTTTTGGGATCCGGTTGCGGTTCTAGTTCTTAAACCCAATCATAAACACGAGATCTAGTCATATTTGACTCCAAAAACACTAACCAAGCTTCTTATTGCTTCTCAAATCTTTGTGGGTGTGGCCGAAGTCCTATGAGTTTTCGGTTTTGGAGCTTCTAAACTGGAAAAACACTACTTTAGCTTTTGGGATCCGGTTGCGGTTCTAGTTCTTAAACCCAATCATAAACACGAGATCTAGTCATATTTGACTCCAAAAACACTAACCAAGCTTCTTATTGCTTCTCAAATCTTTGTGGGTGTGGCCGAAGTCCTATGAGTTTTCTGTTTTGGAGCTTCTAAATGGAAAAACACTACTTTAGCTTTTGGGATCCGGTTGCGGTTCTAGTTCTTAAACCCAATCATAAACACGAGATCTAGTCATATTTGACTCCAAAAACACTAACCAAGCTTCTTATTGCTTCTCAAATCTTTGTGGGTGTGGCCGAAGTCCTATGAGTTTTCTGTTTTGGAGCTTCTAAATGGAAAAACACTACTTTAGCTTTTGGGATCCGGTTGCGGTTCTAGTTCTTAAGCCCAATCATAAACACGAGATCTAGTCATATTTGACTCCAAAAACACTAACCAAGCTTCTTATTGCTTCTCAACTCTTTGTGGGTGTGGCCGAAGTCCTATGAGTTTTCGGTTTTGGAGCTTCTAAATGGAAAAACACTACTTTAGCTTTTGGGATCCGGTTGCGGTTCTAGTTCTTATACCCAATCATAAACACGAGATCTAGTCATATTTGCCTCCAAAAACACTAACCAAGCTTCTTATTGCTTCTCAAATCTTTGTAGCGTGTGGCCGAAGTCCTATGAGTTTTCTGTTTTGGAGCTTCTAAATGGAAAAACACTACTTTAGCTTTTGGGATCCGGTTGCGGTTCTAGTTCTTAAACCCAATCATAAACACGAGATCTAGTCATATTTGACTCCAAAAACACTAACCAAGCTTCTTATTCCTTCTCAAATCTTTGTGGGTGTGGCCGAAGTCCTATGAGTTTTCGGTTTTGGAGCTTCTAAACGGAAAAACACTACTTTAGCTTTTGGGATCCGGTTGCGGTTCTAGTTCTTATACCCAATCATAAACACGAGATCTAGTCATATTTGACTCCAAAAACACTAACCAAGCTTCTTATTGCTTCTCAAATCTTTGTGGGTGTGGCCGAAGTCCTATGTAGTTTCTGTTTTGGAGCTTCTAAATGGAAAAACCCTACTTTAGCTTTAGGGATCCGGTTGCGGTTCTAGTTCTTAAGCCTAATCATAAACACGAGATCTAGTCATATTTGACTCCAAAAATACTAACCAAGCTTCTTATTGCTTCTCAAATCTTTGTGGGTGTGGCCGAAGTCCTATGAGTTTTCTGTTTTGGAGCTTCTAAATGGAAAAACACTACTTTAGCTTTTGGGATCCGGTTGCGGTTCTAGTTCTTAAACCCAATCATAAACACGAGATCTAGTCATATTTGACTCCAAAAACACTAACCAAGCTTCTTATAGCTTCTCAAATCTTTGTGGGTGTGGCCGAAGACCTATGAGTTTTTGGTTTTGGAGCTTCTAAACGGAAAAACACTACTATAGCTTTTGGGATCCGGATGCGGTTCTACTTCTTATACCCAATCATAAACACGAGATCTAGTCATATTTGACTCCAAAAACACTCTCCAAGCTTCTTATTGCTTCTTAAATCTTTATGGGTTGTCGGTTTATCTGATTTATCTGAAGAAGAGCTGTCGGTTGATCCCTTTGACGGTGATAATGCCGGCGTATCGGGACCACTTGAAGGCACATAGTCGTCGAAAGAGGCGTCTGATCCTCCGGATAGCGATGAAGAGCGCGGTGAGCAAGGTGGTGTATCGTTTAATGACACCGTCCTTGAGGACAGAGGCGACCATCTGTCGATGTCTTGGTCACTTAGCCATTGGCCTAGGGGATCCATTTCTTTCTCCGGTGAAGTGACTGAAGAAACCGGATAGTCTCTGGTTGCGAGAAATATTTAAAATATTGAACAGTCTCAACGACTAGATGCTTCCGTTCTATTAATGTGATGTAACTGTTGGACTTAGTTGGACCGGGCCTAATAAGGACAAGCCAATATATGGCCCATACGAAATATATTTGGGCGTTGGTGTCTAATTTGTTATCACGGCCCATAATTATGAATATAATCCTAAGCCTAAACACTAATCCATATACCCTAAACCCTAAAAACCTTAACCATAAGTGTAAATCCTTCAAATTAAATACTATACAAAATCAACGATTCCTATATAATCCCAACCCCAGTACTCTAAACCCTGAACCCATACACTCAACTCAATTTAATTAGGTTTAAAGGAGTTGGTGAGAAGTGACTTGAGCTGTTGACAAGCATTAAGATAAGTAGGTTTGTATCTACTACTAGGTAATGATAGCGTAGTAAGAGGGCAGAGATGTAGAGTTAATGATAAGTAGACACAGTAAAGATGATACGCTGGAAATCAAATCGTAATTAGTCATACAACTTCGAAATTATTTATAACTTTTCCATAAACATGAATGGTTAAGTAAAATTACATCAATGTCTCAGCTATCAACTATGGTAATTTTGGTTTATTAATTACAACTGGAATGGAAAGTAAAAGGATTTAGTCTTAGCAACATAAACAAATACTTTACCATTACTTTGCTGGAAATAAAAAAAATATATTTATGTTAAGAACATTAATCGAAATAGGTTTTATAATTGACAACATAAACTGGAATGGAAATTAATAACTAGATTTAGTCTTAGCAACATAAACAAATACTTAAACATTAATAAAACAACGAATCGGGATGGGAGTCGAAACTACTTCCATCGGAGGAATCTTCATCATCTTCATCTGTAACGGGACCAACAGCGTCCGGTGGACTTAATCTAAATTCACAGCTACTTCCATCATGAGTGAGGCAGTAATACCTAAGAGGCCAGCTCATGTCCCCAAACTTGTCGAACTCGTACCGGAGCCAATCTTTCGGGTGTGCCTCCAATCGCCTCATGCCTCTCTCCATGTCCTGCATCTACTCAACCAGCTCGGCGTGGCATTTGCGATAGGCCTCATGTTGATTCGCCAAATGACAAATATACCACTAATAACCATTGTAACAAAAACCCTAACTTTCAAGTTATTACTCAAATAACTAACATGCAAATACGAATTCGAGACACTTACCCTAGCGACCCAATGTTGATTTTTTGTGAAAACACTTCCTGGGCAACGAGCGAAGAAAGTCTTTGGATAAGTTATTTTTCCAGGGACGAAATCTCTTTCTGCCGGCTGAATATCCGGTCCATTCCCGTTGCCTGGGACTTTATCCCAGGGATAGATAGGCTCAACACTTGGACACGTGAGAGTGGATAGAGGAAATCCCACTTCTGGTTGCGAACGCCCAGTCCACCGATGAAACCGCTCCACATCAAACTTGGGAGAATCAGGCGGCATAGGAGAACTTGGTTCAGACGCAGGAGAATTTGGTGTGGAGGAAGAATGATAATAAGTGCTTCGATCCATGGTGTTTCCGGCGAAGAACAGTAACCACCGTCTCTGGTTTTTTTTTTTTTTTCTAAGAAACTGAAGAGACTAGACGTTTCGGTTGTCTATGCATTTATACTCACCTTATTATGAATGGTTTATGATGTAAACGGGCCGGACCATATCAAAAGTACAAATATTCAAATAGACTAATACATTAATAAAAGCCCAATAAGACATCCGGGATTTCATGGTTCAACTAGGACAACTGTGAGGTTGAGTACCTGGTTCAACCGGGACAACTAAGACTACTTTGTAATATTTGTATTTTACTTTGCAAAAGTATAAGTCTCTGGTTCGATAGGGCCAAGTACTTAGTTTACCATGCTTATTTGTACGACGTATGTTCCTGGTTCACCTAGTACAAATAAGAGGAGTTTAAATTTAAAATTATATATATAATTTAAATCTTTAAACGTTAATAACATTTTCATCTTCAAACTTAGATCATCTAATATATAATCTAAAATCTAATATATATATATATATATATATATATAAATATTTATTATTTTCATTTTATCATAAACTTGTTTTTACACAAATCACTTTTTGTGTAACAAGGAAATATTAGTTCATGATTACCTATATTGATGCAATAAGAATAGAAACAATGATATAGTGAATATTTTCCTAGGGAATGTGGCATGTTGGGGCACTTTGTGAGTTTGTATGAGCATATGAGGCAGTAGTCACTTTTTTGGAGTTTTACCACTGTTCCACAAAAATCAATACCAATTTACCCTTACTACACGTGGACAATTAACCCAAGTGTGGTTAACTTGTTAATTCTCAGCCGTTGGATATGTAGGAGAGAGAATAGATCCAACGGTTCATGACAAGCTTCATATGAGAGTTTAGAGTGTGGAGGTTGTGGGTGGACACGGTATTCGGAGTGGAGTTTGGTTGTAAAGAGAGAGAAATGAAGGTAGTGGATTATAATAAAAGAGGATTATAAGTTCTAAATCAAGGATAAATATATTTTTATTGTATGATAAATTATAATTACTTTTTCTAGATCCATTTTACTATATTTTATAAAGATAATCATATAATACATCAATATTTTTAAAGGATAAAATATAAACTATCCACATAATCTTGAACACACGATAGTCTCATATGATTTTACATCAAACCTAAGCACCTAAACCTAAACCCTAAACCCTAAACTCAAAACCCTTAACTTTAAAACCTAAACCATAGAGATTTAACCCTTAACCCTTAACCTTATACTTATACCTTATCCATAACCTCTAAACCTAAACCATAAACCCTTGATACTAAACCCTAAAACCTAAACCCTAAACCCTAAACCCTATACCCTAAACATAAAACCTTATACCCTAAGCATAGAGACATAACCCTTAACCCTTAGGGTTTAGGGAATACTAAACACGAAATACTATACCCTAAACATAATACTAAATACTAAACCCTTAATATTAAACCATAAACCCTAAATACTATACCCTATCCATCATAACATAGCTACGTGGACGATATAAGTTAAACTCTAAACCAAAAACAATAAACCCAATACGCTTAACCCTTACCTTACCATCAAAATATTGTCATGGGGTTGGTTAAAACCCTTTCCATGTAAACTTAGCCACGTGATTCCATATACGCTCAAATTCTAAGACTATACTATACCCATAAGAATGAAACCCTAAACCCTATATAATAAAAATTATACCCTAAACAGTAAATCTAAACAATAAACCGTAAACCCTAAACATAAATAATAAATACTAAACCATAATTAATAAACCCTAAACCCTAAACACAAAATCCTATCCATCATAACATAGCCACGGGGATGATATACAGTAAACCCTAAACCATAAACAATAAACCTTAAACCTCTAAGTCAAAACCCTCAACCATAAACCCTAAATCATAGAGACTAAACCATTAACCTTAACCATATAACTAAACCCTATATCATAAATCCTAAACCCTAACCATAAGACTAAACTCTTAACCCTTAACCATATAACTATACACTATACCCTATACCTAAACCCTAAATCTTAAACTCTAAACCCTTAACTCTAAACTCTAAACCCTAATCTAAACCCTAAACATGAAATCCAAAACTATAAACCTAAACCCTACGATACCACCTCTAACTTTTATCCCCTCAACCTTAAACCGTAACTTTTATAGATACAACATCAATAACCACCATTTTCGATCCATAATAATCTAAAACATGTTTCTTAATCTGAAAACGTATAACATTATTGAGATCGATCTGTTCATACACAATCATACAATATACATTCGTATTGTTGTTTTGTTTATATGTAATCATAGATATAAAAATATGAAGATTTTTATGGAATAACTTTTGGGGATATGACCACTAGAACTTGTTTCATCATATTTTATCACGATCTTTAATATAACATAACACTTATTTTGTGGACAACCTTATACAAAAATCACATTAGATTCGTAACATAACAAAATATTGGCTTTCATAATGCTTTCTCTATACATAAATTATTCATAAATTCAAAAAGCATAATACATCATCCATTATGCGTCATCAATAATGTGGCATCCATAATTTGTCATACATAATAGTCAA